AGGGTAACACCCATCAAATGTGCATGCACAGAACCATGCACAACCTTGTGCACAGCTCTGTGCTCAAAGCTGAAAAACGATTGTCCACTGTACCTTTAAGATTCTTTCAGCAATCCAGAGTAAACTGTTGTTTATCACCTCTTTAAAATGTTAAAAGAAATCCTCACTAGAAATAAAGGATGATGAAACTAGAGATATTTTTTTTTTTCAGTGCTGTGATCCTTTTATATTTTATCCTCCTGTGTTATTAAGCCTGAGTTCTCAATATACATGCAGTTTTGTTCATAAATAGAGGCCTCCTATTCAACACCTGTTTAATATACTGTAATTCAGAATTAATGTCATAGCTGCTTTGCAAAGATACACTTTTATAATAGTTTGTTGTATCAGTCACTTGTAGGTTTTTCTAAGCTCTCAAAATGCTTCAACTCAGGGTGCTTTTACAAATTGGTTGCCAGTGACGCTCTAACCCAGTGAACATGGTTTGCATAAACTGGGATGAGCTCTACATTGATTCGTCCTTAAAAAAATTATTACTTTAAAAATTAGCTAATTTTGCAACAATGGACACATTCTTCTTAAATATTTTTTTTTATTTCCATGAAAGAAATAGTGTTTTTTAGAACGTGGTTTCTAGCAAGTTTTCACATTGAAATGACTGTGTATTTTGAAAGTGTATTTTCCTTGAAATACATGCATAAAAAGGTTTTAAGATATCAGGAAATGCACAATTTTGTTTTTTCTGTAGTTGTTTTTTAGAGGTAGATCGTCTTTTGCCTGAAGTTTGAATATAGGATAGATTCAGAATCTCTTATTTGCCGTTATCTTGTGTCCGCAAGTTACTTTATAATCCATTTGATGTGATAAGACATTACTAGACTGGTCATGATAGTGGAATTGATCAAGCACAAACCATTATCCACTGAAGTTAATGCCTTTTTTCCCCTCTTTTTGATGCTCTTTTAAAACTAGTGTTGTGCTTCCATTAAACACTCCTATTGTAGCTCCAGCTATTTACCAAAAAACACTGTTCAGAAACATAGATGTACTACAGAGGAAGTCAGATTAAACAAAAATATAATATCTTTACCGTGTTGTCATCTGAACCTGATCTATGTGGCTAGAGTGATTGCAGCTCAGGATCAGATCAGTCTCAGCGTTTGCAATAAACTCCCTCTGTCAGATTATATAAAGTAAAATCACTTCATAACTTCACCTCTCCTGAACCTGATGTTGGTAGATTAGACATAAAAGCAGAAGCAGATGATAACTTTCAGTGCTAAACAGCTCAACAGTCTCAGTGTCATTGTTCACATTTTTCATTCTCCTTGCACTGATATTCATAAATCATGTTCAAATTCGCTTGTTTCAACTCTTCATGTTTTCTTGCTATGAGCTTACATTATAACAAAAGGTCAGTATTTAATGATAATCCTGCAAACAGAAGCGCACAAAAACTGTTTTTAGGGAGACAAACATTAAAAGAACTGGATGCAGTGATGCCTCAAATATTTTATTTATCAAAACAAACCAGCTGGCATTTTAGCAAAACAACACAGAAAAAAACAATAAATTATTCAATGAAGCATAGAGTTTGGTCATTAATATATATATATTTTAATTCAGTAAAGCAGTTTGACTTTTTTTTTGTTTTTGCTAATCCAACATCAGGAACTTTCTCTGACTGAAAAGAGCACAGCTAGCTGAATGCACAGAACTAGGAGAAGAAACATTGGAAGAAATCTGTTAATAAAGTTAGACTGATACCCTCCCTCATTATAAATAAACGACTTTATTGTTTGAGGGTTTTCGTAAGGAACCGTGTGATAAAACAAAACCTTTATGTGTTAAAACAAAAGTGTAACTTTGGAGCCAACAATAGAATGTGCTATAACACTGACAGAGTGACAGACACAGGATGCACACACACATCCACACATTTTACAATGCATACATTTGCAGTTGATTTAATTATTTTACTGTTTAAGTTTTGCAAGTTGATTGCAAGTTTTTTTAAATGTTGTTAATAAATCTGACGGATACCAATTGTATTTTGAAATAAATTAAAAACAACAGGTAGTCTATATATTTTTTCTAACATATTTTTTTCTAATGTTAGAGTAATGTTTAATCCCTTTTCATAAAATCTTAGGTTTTTCCTTTACATTTTACATACAACACCCATAAATTAACCCAAACCAGCAGGTTTACAGATGTGTACTTACAATAAAGAGAAATGAATTTAATTGGATATGAGCTTGTAAAGATTAAGAGTATTTTAGCAACATCAACATAAACTATAAGCATATAAAGTTTAATTTGAATTGGGCTATTTAGTGGTGGAAATAAGTCTATGTAAACAAATAATTCAGGAAAAAAACAACTTTTTAAAATTTGTACCTCTTAAAGTTCCATTAACGTGTGCATTTATATAGCCACAACTTTTAAGTTTTAAATTCAAAGTCTTCACTGTTTTCATCCAGTTAAAATGTGAAGCTGAAGGAGAGTTTTTTTCAAGCCACTTGGCATAAAGATGTACTTGGAACCATATTCTTATCTTGCCATCTTTTGCTTCAAGCGCTGATGTAACTTTAATGCAGACAGAAAAAATGACTATTGCAACAGTGGATAACACAAAACTATTCCTAGAACTGCAAACAGGCTGAGCACTGCACTTTAGGACTAAAACAAAGCAATTGACAAAAAAAAAGGAAACTAAAATTAGGGATGCTATAGATTAATGACATGGGGTTCTTTAAAACATTTTTTTAAACCCAGGATTTTTTTCCGAAGTAAAACAAAACTGACTTTAAAAGTTATATTTTCCAAAACACTCTTGGAATTAGTAAATAATTTAACAAAAATCAACAACAAATATTTAAAAAAGCCCTTACACACATCTCTATAAGGGGACTCAATATAATGCATCACTTTTTGTGTGTCAGTCTTGCCCGGTAGAGCAATGACCTGAAACGTGACTTAGAACCAATTTTCAGCACTAGAGAATAAAATATTTATGAACCTAACAACTCAGACTAACAGCACAGGAATGTTTGTAAAACTACTGCATTGACTGGGTTACAGTGTTACAGAATAACCATTTAGAAGTCCAACTATTTTGTAGCTTTTTTTGGCCATAAAAAGTAAAGTAGCATCTGAAAGTAACATTTTTTGCTGAAATCCAGCCGGTGAATGAGTCTGTGTGTTTAAAAGTTAAAAAGTTTAAAGAGAAGCTATGAGCTTTGAACGCTTTTCAGCAAAATACATATGAATTGCTGCCCTTCTGTTTTGCCGCTGCTGAAGGGTTTGATATGTGTCTATATACACGCACCTTGCACATGCAGACCATTCACGTCTGTAGCTGCTGCCAACTCTCACAGACTGTTCGTAACCCTCAACCTCTTAACAAAAGCATCTCTTCCTGAGCTTTTAGAGAAACACACCCACACACATTGAAGTATGGGTTGTATTTTCACCAGGAAAGTTGCTCTTAGTCATGCAGAAAGCGTCTCACCCTGAAATAATGCTAATCTACAAATAGACGTCCTGACTATTCAGACACCTTTTCTTAAAAACTTCCTCTGTGTGGCTCTTCCTGAGTTTCCAGCTCGCTTTCCTCTGTAATATGTTTGGGGTCTGCGGTTCACGGTTTTATCCGCCACAGCAGAATTCCGCTTAGCACACCGGAATGCCAGGAATGCTCAGGAAAGAAAATGGGCATAGTGCTGCAGCACGATCTGACGAGTTCTTTGAAGTCTTAGAAGGTGAATGGTGAAGGGTATATTTTAAGTAGTGAGCATTGAGATGCACAAAGTCAAAGTGTATTTACATTTAAGCAAAAATAAATTCACATTTGGCAGATATATAACAGTTTTTGCCTGTTATATATACAGTTTTGTGAATTCCATAAAATTCAGACCTGAGGGGTCCTGGTTAGCCTGATTTCAAAACTAGGAATGTGTTATGTTGGTGTAGACTTCCTGAAACCTTTCTCCCAACCCCATTCTGCCTCTCGCTCACTCATCTCTGCATCCTCCGAGCAGAGGATTTGCCTGAAGTTTCTAGAAACAGTCATTAAACACAAAAAACTGCAAATGTATGCACATTAAACATGAGCTAAACACAGAAATTCCTAATCAGAGTTTGGGTTTCCATATTCTCAGACCATAAAGTTACTTTTAACACAACTTGTTTTATTTCTTTGAAATGTGATTTTTGCTGTGTACTTTGATTCCAGTCCAGACTGGATTTGATTTAAGCATAAGTATTCACATCTTTTAATCTTTTGACACATTCAATCTCACAAAAACAGACATTTTAAGGTTTGATTGATATATTATAATATTTTAAGACTAAGTGCTGCATAACTGTGAAGAAGTAGAAATAGGATGAAAAAAGGAAGGAGATACATTTTATCACATGCCTTAGTTAATCCCCTTTTTGGTCATACCCCTAATTAGAAATCCACTGCAACGTCTTTTTAGACGTTACCAAAGTAGTTTATATGTTCTGCTTCTGTTTAATTTTAAACTCACTATAAATCCAGGTACTATTGGATACCTCAAAAATTGTTAAGAAAAAAATCTGTGAATTTTTTTTTTCTCCAAAATATTCAGCTTTTTTAGTCCAAAAATTCAAATCCATTTGTCTTCACTTTACACTTCACAGTTACATGGAACTTTACTTTGATCTATAACAAACCTCAGAAAAAGCCTTTGAAATTCATGGTGCCAACTAGTGTTGCACCGATACCGATACCAGTATCGGACGGGGCCCCGATACTGCCCTAAAATGGTGGTATCGGTATTGGCGAGTACCAACAAATAGGGCACCGATATCATTTTGAGAGCCATAAGTTTATTCAACTATTGTCACCCACTCCTGGTAGGCAATAAAAAGTTCTACTGGATTCACTTGGTATTAGATTTTTTTCCTGCTTCACAAAGGTAGGCTGCAGCTTGACAAAGCCATGATGGCAATTATTTTACATTATTATGGTATCGGTATCGGCTGATACTGCACAGCCAGGTATCGGGTATCGGTATCGGGGCCAAAGAATGGCATCGGCGCAACACTACTGTAGTTCCAACATTACAAAACGTGACAAAGTATGAAAGGTGTTAGTACTCCAGTCAGACCCAACTACATTAGGTGTAGTTTGAGTAGATAAAAACAAACATGAAAACATGTTTGACAGGAACATTTAGTGCATTTTTGAAAAAAGAAAAAAAAAGCGAGCTGTGCTCAGAGAAAGTTATTACCTAAAGCTAATCGCATTTTGTACGATGCAAGCCTTCTTCTCTGCTGCGTGTTTGTCAGCGGTGCTGTTTGGTATATAGAGTCCGATGCAAACCAGGAAAAAAAATGTAATCCATCAGTTCTATAGCCAGGATCAACATCTCAGCGAGGGGGCTGCAGAGGACACGCACACTCGCATGTTTCATGATGGGAAAGGAAAATTTCCCCAATAACCCAGCGCACCCGCTGTTTCTGCTGCTGCTGCTTGTATGGACTGGTCTCTGGGGAATACTTGAGCACCTAAAGGAGACAAAGAAGGAAGTAGAGACAGATGAAAACTTCACAATTTTATCCAAAAGAAATAGCAACACAGCAAAAACATAACTTATTAATTGAAAATAACTGCATGTGAAGTTTGCAGTTTAACCATAAAACATCATTTTATCTTCTGCAAGCAAAAAAGAACACACAAAAAAACAGCAAAAATGCTGAAATTAAAGTGCTTTATGATCTTAATTTCCACATAGGGTCATGCTAATATCTTTGTGAGACAGATAATAATGAAGTGACTGGCTGGCTGCCTGCCCTGGAGTCTTCACGGTCCTTCTGCTAGGTGCACCTGTTTGATACTGCTATGGTTGGAGGGACTGGATGGTTAGGCCCATGAAAAACAAGGGGAAAGCTGAAGGTGGTTCAAAACAATCCAAACATAGGTTCAATGAAAACAAACATCTCCAAAAAATGCAAGGCATGGGAAGGAAATTTACAGGCTTTACCAGAAAACAAGAGCGCTTAGATTGCAAATATCTTCTCTACCATATGACAGTTGGCCAGATGCTGCTGCGTCCAGGGTCAACTCAGGGAAAAGCAAGCAGGCCATCATTCATGCAAACATATCACGAAGATTTAAAATAGCATGTTTTTAAATAGGAGAGGGAAAGCTAGAAAATCCACAAAACAAAGACAGTGAATGCTCAGGGAGAACATGCAAACTAGAGAGGAATAGTTCTATCCAGAGGGTTGATCCAGTACTGTTTGGCTGAAACAGGAGGGACAAATCACAACAGTTCCAAGGTGGCACACAAATTTTCATAAATGATGCAGCAGATTTGTTCACAACATCCGAATGAAGAAAACACTGTGATTAAGGTCGGGACTTCTAAGGATCGAAGCTGCAGTATCAGTAATATCTGTGTCTCTTTAGGAGTTCAATCACTGAAGGAAGAACTTAAGATATCTGTGATAGCATCGAAGAATCAAGAGGAAGCTGCCAATCTCCCACAAACAAACTCACAGCAGAAAAATATTCACAAGGAGAAAAAATATCTCTGTTCATGCAGGGAAATGCTCTTGTTTCATGGTTGCACATTTAGTGATTGTGGTCTACACATTTACATGCAAACACACTCAGAGACAGAGAAGAATTACAATCCAAATCCTACTTTTGTCTCAATTCCTATTGTGCAATTTTTAACTCTAAGAAGAGCCTGAGGCAGAAAAAAGAGCCCTATGGACCACGTTTCAATAATGAAGCTATACCAGAACAAAGGCACAAAGAGATGGAGGGAAGCAAGAGAAGAGAAATGAATGACAGGCTTAAAGAGCAAGAATGGTGCATCGCAAAGGGACAAATTGAAAATGGGAATTGGGAAGAATGAAAGGATGATGAAAGCCCAGAGAGAGGAGGGAATGGGAGATAGAATGCTTGAGAGACAGAGCAACTGGAGGGAAATGAGAAAAAGAGAGAATGTGGCAGACTTCTACACTGTTGCTTTTGCTACTGGTGCAGCGCCGGCCTCAACACTCTCATCTTCTTCTTCCTTCTTCTCCTACATTTACTATATGGCTATATTTTTTCTTTTACCTGCCACTTTACACTCACAATCTTTTTAGGCTATTAAGATCAACTCATTTGTTGTATATAGAAGCTAAACATGTCACATGTTTTCAAATCTTGATGAATATTGTTACAAACTGGTAAATCTCAGGGAAGACATATCTCTCTAAAAATCTGGTCTAGGTTTCTTATGAGCAATGAAACATTTACAGCTATTGAGTTTGTATATGATCAAGTAGCTCTATCCATTAGTAAAACAACTTCTTAAAACATTTACACATATTGCCATATTTTATCATTTGTCTGCACATACTCTTGCATTAAAGAGCCAACAATTATTATTGCAAACACATCTTAACAAGTCAGAATACCACTAAAAAATGTATTCCTTTCAGCAATAAATCATAAACTAAAATTCAGTTAAAAATAAAATGACCAAATCAAATAAGAGGCCAATATGAAAGGATTTAAATATATTTTCACTATCATAATAGAAACAAAATCACTTTTTTTGGCCATGGCTCTGTTTAAATGAATTACTGCATTAAAACAATGTGGTTTAGAGGTGATCAACCTTCTGTTCCAATAAACATGGCATTACGCTCATCTGCATTGTTGAATCTTGTACCTTGACATACCGCATATATTCTATGTTGTTTAGGCCAGACCAGTTTTCTGGCAGAGATCCCATGCTCAATGAACCTTGTGTTCATTCTTTTGACATTTTGAACCAAATTAAATCAACATCTCCTTTAAGCTTGCCAACAGGGAAATATTACTTTGGAACTAACTTGGGATTTGGTAAACACACTGTAGAAACAACAGCAGATGCAATATTTTATCAACTAATAATCAGTAAGGTTTCCCATTCAACCTTAAACAACTTATATTATGATCCTCTTCACTTCACATCCATACTCTGGGATCTTGGTTCCCATACTAGTCCTTGGAGCACAGAGAAGCACAGACAAATTGCCGTTTGTGAACAGCTAGCTACTTTAACAATCTTTTGTGGCTTCAAGCCAAAATCAGTGAGTGCCACAGAATACATACTTAAAATGTATTACTTTTTTTAAACTAAATTACTGAAATAAATTATATTTTCTCTTATTTTTTAACGAACAGTATGGGTATGTGCAAATAGAGCAGTGACATTTCGGGTATTAAAATGAATTTAAACTGTAATTCCTGAACCATTTTAAGTGCTAGCTTTAATAGATAAACCTTTATTCCTGATATTCTTTAATACATAATGATGAGAGAAATCCATCAAATCCGAAATGTGTACAAATTATGATTTAAAGGTCCATCTTACTAAATGAGCAGTGTCCTTTCTGAAACAACAACCGTGTTGATTACAATATATGTTGCTAGAAGACTCATTCATTCATTGTTAATAGAGATGTCAAAGTTAGCCAAGCCACATGGACTGTTGCAGCCTCATATATAAACCACAACAGATGTTCACTGTGATAAAAGGATCATTATTCCCTTTGCTCATTAGCAAACATCATGCATTCTCGATTTCAAAAAGAATTTTAAATTCTCCCTTGCTGACCTGTCCAATGTCCAACCCGTTCCCCTGCCTGGGATTGGCACCATATGCATAGTGCTTGTTAACAATGATTTTCAGAAGCGTTCCTAGACCATCATGGTTTTTTCTACCACAGAGCTATGTTCGATTTTAGTGTAGTAATGCCTGAAAACTAAAAAATAAAAAAGCATATATTCAGTACTTTAAGGTAATGTGCTATTAAGAAAATGATCTGGATTATCTGACTCTTTATTAATTACTTTTTTTTTTTATTGAAACCTTTCTTTCATCAGAAAATAAACCTTTTAGGTTGTTAAAAGATATATTCAGTCAGTCTTTGAAGGAGCAGGGAAAACTTTACTTCAAAACAGAAGAGTCTCGATGGGATTCTCTTTGACCTTGTCCAAACTTCTCTTTAAGACCCACTGCTGAGATTACATACCAATTTATTCTGCACACTTTTGTGAGCAGGCTAAAAATCAGTATTGTAGTAAAGACTACACCAACCGACACCAAAGAGTACAGAGACCGAGACAAGACCAAGACATTATATGATCTTGGTCTTGTCCTCTAAAGGTCTTTTCTTTGTCTCAGTACTGCTTAATCTTGGTTGGTTTGGTCTTGACTGTAATACTACTAAAACTATCAGACCTCAACAAACAACACTCACAGGCAAATCCATTGCATTGAGAATTTGGCATGTCTGATCAGTATCTTAAAGTTTCCATTAGATGCCAGTGTAAATTCTCATTCATTGGAATTGCGGAAACCACATTACAGGTGCGAGCCAAAAGAATTGACAAAGACACCTGGAAAGAGGGAAAGTCCAGTTTCCTTCCAATCTCAGCCTGTTTTATGGCTTCCATTACACGTTTACATTCATTGATAAAATGCATTAATGTCTTCTTGACTTGCGGATTCAAACAAACTATTTAAACAATCCCATTTGATGAAGTTAACATACACATATAAATAAATTAAAAGGGTTTTCTCTAGTCTATTCCCACTAAATTTAAATACAGGCTTAAATACAGTGCATCTAATATTTTTATCAGTCATCAAAAAGTTTGTGGTAGAACAAATTAATAACAAAAAACATTAAGAATGAATTTCAGTTTCAATTAATTTCTTGAATTTTAGGCACAGAACCAGCTTTTAAGCATAACCCACAGATTTCAATGGGATCGAGGTTTGGGGTCATTGCAAAAACAATCTTTAGTCTGTCTTAACATCCAAAATCCAGTTTTGTGTTGTATTTTGGATCACTGTCCTGTTTTGATTTTTTAAATTGTGCCCTTGTTTAGACAATCAGGTGGTCTGTGCTAGACCTACCTCATGAAGCTTTGTCGTGGTTTTCAAAGGCTGACAGGAACAGCCAGTGTTCCAGTTATTGGTTCCACAGCCACAGTTGCCTCCACACCGTTTCACCAAAAGACATCGAGGGAAGAAGACAGCATTGGTGGTCTTCAGCTCTTCTCGCAGATTCACAGAGTAGTTGCGCGGTGTGCAGCTAAATCGCTTGACATCATCATGAAGGCGATTCAAATCAACTGGATATTAAAACAAAAAAAAAGAATAAATACTAATAATTTTATATGTAAACGTTTGAGTTTCATCTATTCAAAGCACTAATACAAATAAATTCAGTAAGAGAAACTAGAGTTATATAATTTTTCAAATATGATATACAAGCAAAATAGAGCTGACTGTTAATTCACGGCTCAATACAAACACACATTCTATACAGATAGCAAAGATAAAAAATAATTGCTTTGGTTATTTCCTTTTAATACGTTATTTATGTTATTTTATTAAATGTTTAAAAAATATCCATCTCTCCGTCAATCTATCCATTCACACCTAGGGAGAACTTAAAGTTACCATCAACTTAATGCATGTTTTATTTTTTTTTCTTGGAATGTGGAAGGAAGCATGAATACCCAGAGAGAATGCAAAAAAAAAAAAGAAGAAATAAACATATTTAGTCTGTAAAGAGAAGGAATAGTATTTACCTACACTGCACATCCTCTTTTTTTCAACATTTTTCCCTTTCAGTTTTCATTGCAGCTTAAATAAATACACATGATCACCAAGAACCAATCAACATTTTTTCTTTGTATCTCATACCTGATATAACAATTACAAGCAGATCCTTGCTCTTGCAACATTGTGAAGGAATCGATCAGATTAAATAATGCAGGAAGTGTAAAGCCCTTCTATTTGTTAGGAGGACTACAATAACCGCTGATGACAAAGATGGTGAAGATGAGAAGATGAAAGACAAGACACTATAGGCCTGAAAAAGAAGCAGAGCAGAGAGGCTCTAATTCATCAAAAATCATTCTAATGATTCTGGTCTTTCTTCTTGTCATCAGTGTGAAGCAAAATTGCCTCATTTGCCCATATAAGACCCTCAGCCACGGATTATGAGTAATTTTAGGGAGGTGAAAGGGAACGGACAAAATGATGGAAATTGTTTTGACAGGATAGGATTAAAAAAAGGAAGAATCACAAAGTGCAACATAGATATAAAACAACAGTGATCACTCGTAACATTAGCAAACTGCAACCGTTTATTCCCTTCCCCTCAAATAACACATTTCTTGCAAAGAATGTGAGTGCTTTAACATACTATAAAGATAATGGAGACTAACTGTAAGTTTGAAGGACAGATGGAACAGAAAACAAAAAGGAAGATGAGGAGCAGACAGCGCAATGAAAGCAACAATCAGTGGAGAACTGAGTGGTCTGTGATTGAAGAGAGTAGGGTAATAATCAACACTCTTCATAGCAAAGGCAGCAATTACATCAAAAGTCACTCTTGACCCTGATGTTGGCAGTTTTGTCAAAATAAACTTCAGTATAAAGAACAAACTAAATAGCAGGACTATAAGCTTGTAAAATACTCAGCAATCAAGATTGTGTTTGATACTTTCAACATAACATAATTTTAGAAGAATTTATAATCTAACTTTTAGTTTAAAGCTGCAGTGCATCAAACACACTGAAGACCTCAGGCTTGTGGAGTCATTAAATCAATTCACTTACAAAGTCTACCTTATTAACTGCAAGAAAATGAGATCAAATTTCTATTTAATTAAAAAGAATATGGCTTGGTCCAAATTAAAAGAAATTGAGTGCAGTTCTCTCCAATAAGGTATAATTTTCAAATATAGTATAGTATAGTATAGTATAGTATAGTATAGTATAGTATAGTATAGTATAGTATAGTATAGTATAGTATAGTATAGTATAGTATAGTATGTNATAGTATAGTATAGTATAGTATAGTATAGTATAGTATAGTATAGTATAGTATAGTATAGTATAGTATAGTATAGTATAGTATAGTATAGTATGTAATGACTATATAGGGGGAGTGGCAGCCTGGTGAGCAAAGACCCTTAACCCCACACTGCTCCATGGGTGCCGCACAATGGCAGCCCACTGCTCCCCAAAGGGATAGATTAAATGCAAAGTGTGAATTTCGTTGCTCTGTACTCTTGACTGTTCAAGAGTTCAACTTTGAAGCAAGAAATGAATTGTGACTTTTAAACACACAAGCAGAAAAAAGAAGCCTCTGAACTGATGGGATGCTCTACAGCCCTCCTGATGTGCATTGATTATCTACAGTCAGATTGTTATGTAAAGAAGTCTTCATGTGATGAAACTTTGTTTATCAATTAACATAAATCATGGTATCAAATTACAATTTTAACAATTGTAAGAAGTCTAAGTACATTATTTCAATTGAAAAATGTTTGAGCAGTCTTTGTGATCAGAAGATATTATGTCAAATCCATATCGGGAGTATATTAAAACAAAAAGACTGGACTAAATATGAAAGGTATAGAAACTATTGTCAAAGATTGCAGCACTATCGCACTTTAGAGTATAAAACCATAAGAAACTGCAAAAAATAATTTTAATGTTTGGATCTTTGTTTCACCAATCACTGCAATCACTGCAGCTGCTTTTTCTAAGGTAAGGTTTTACATGTTTTCAGCTTTGATTATTGCTCGAAGAGAATCCCTGATATCACAAGAAAGGTAAGTAATCAAAGCCCTTTTTGAAATGTATATGCCGTGCAAAAGTCGTTTTTTAAATTATTTTTGTGGGTTTAATAAAGAAGAATCATAATAATTGTGTAAAAAAAAAAAAGACTAAAGCTGATGACAGCATGTGAAATCTCAAGTAGAAAGAATGAAAATAACCTGCTTTCAGGAGTTCATTCTAAGAGGAAAAGTGCTCAAAAATTATTATTACTAAGTAAGATCCTTCAAATTCCAATGTGTTATCTTTAAAATCTAACCATGGCAGCAACTGAGAAGTAAAGTTAGGCTGAGAGTTAGGCTGACCAGTAAAAAGGGAACTTAATAGCGTAATGAGAAAAGTGAGAAGAAAAAAGAAAAAATACTGATGCAGTTTACTCTGTGGTAGAATCTAACTTTTTAGGATTCAGCAAAAAGAACTAGACAAGAAAAAGTAAAATGACTAAACAGCCTAGGCCCTTTGCGTCTAACCATTAAGCCGTCAGTGATTGACTGAATCTTTTCAAATGGAACCTTCTGCACCACAGGGAGGAACAATCAAGACTCTTAGGCTGTTCAGGAATCAAACCTTGAGTGGTTAACTGAATGCAGGCATCTGCTCTGTGCTCTGTTACAAAATCGATTATTATGTGTGTATCATGACTTTGTTCTTTATTCTTCTGCCGCCATCGTGAAATTCTAACTCTCCATTGACCAAGCAAAAATCCATTACACTATAAGCTGACTAAAACAAAGTTGAAGGCATGTTTGTATTCATCAACCTTGTCTGTAGTCTCTGTAAGACGAAGCTAAGATTGTTCTTTGTTCCTAATAATGACCTCACCAATTAAAAAAACTGAATATTTAAGCATTTCAAACATTTTGCTGGGAATATCTAAGCTTTTTTTGTTCAGTACAACCATTTTCTCCAATTCAATACAAGAGACAGACTTTTAAACATCAATATTTCCAGTGAATAGTAGCAATGTATCTTTGTTTCTCTGAGATGCATCCAACTCAAGAGATCATAGTATTTTTTGTTTTTTTGTGCTACTAAATTAGACCAGTCTGAGTAACAATGACAAATGGGCTTGACCTTTTGATTCTCTGAGAAAAAAAAAGTCTTAAGATAATGACTTTAGAAAACCGAATGGTTAAAAAACTGCCATTTTGTCTTTTCTTGCCTTGCCATCTTGCCATATGTATAGATATATATACAAATATATTTTACATGGGTTTAAACTTTTGAAGGGAAGCTCATTCGTTAAACACTGATTTTTGGGGGATGCATCTTTAATACTCTATATACAGTCATCAAGAGCCCAAAGTGATCAATTTGTTAAAATTCTGGATAATTAAGTAATAGTGAGGGGCTGCCGTAGTGTTGGGAATGAATCGAAACATTTAGCTTTGGAGAAGAGGGACTCTTCATGAATGTACACAGAGGATCAACATATTTAATATGACATTAAGTACAATTGCTACTGGGTCAGTACTATTCTATAAAATTCAAAGAGAAATGTTTTAATACCTTTTAGACCAAATTCTGACACTAGCCCAAATCATTCTTGAGAAAAAAGGCAAGAAACATCAAAGTCTGAGGAAATTATTTTACTTTCGTAGCAAAAGTTGAAGATTTAAATTAACCAATTATTGCTTGAAATCATAGCTAATGTAGGAAATTGCCATGTTTTACATTTTGAGTTATGATTGCAACATCTTAATTTTAGAAAAAGTTGCAGTCATAATGCAGATTTAAGACATCAAAAACATCTAGAGATATAAAAATGTATACAGTGACATTAACATCTCTGTAAATGTCAATTTTGTAAGATTTTCAAATCCTATTTAAATAGAATAGAATTTATGTGTGTGATACTGATTCAGTTGCTGTTATTTTTTTGCACAGTAAAATTTTACCCTGAACAAGATAATTATTGCAGTGCTTTTTTGTAAATTACGTTTTTGTGGGGAAAAAAAGCTATTTGTTGACATGAAGCCTTAATCAATATATATTGCTGTATAATTTTATTCAATAATAAAAATGACATATATAGCTTATTATTAGAGTGTTTGTTTGTTTTTAAGAGATTATTCCTAAAATGTTTTATTCGAGAAGTTTTATAAAACTGGCAAAAAAATTATTTTCAAAAGTTTGTAAGAGTGTGATTTAATAATTAATTAATAATTAATTATCGACCCAGCCCTTTTTGACAAAGAAATAAACCATTACCTTTTCACTTTTAATACTTAATATAATATAATCTAGTGAAATATGTGTTATATTTATTATAATAATATGTAGAAATCGATTAGAGGGGAGTGTGAAGAATAAACAAGGGCATCTGGACTTCAGGCCACAGCCTTCGTTCTGTTGGTCCTATGTCATATTGAAATCTGAATTTGAATGCCTAACTTAGTTTGTGTCTACTGTATTCCTGTGAAAATAAAAAAAAAAAGATTTTTTTATGTATAATTTATTTTGATTCATTAAATAAGCTATAGCGGGTTTTTGAGATGAGGATAGCTGTTAAACATTTCTATCATATTTTGATCCAACTAAGGCTTCTGTGGGTGATTATTATTATTCTTAGGCTCAATTAGTTGTTATTTCAGAGTGGCATGTATACAGGAAAAATGTATTCTGTTATTACATGGTTGCCCATATGTGAGTGTTTCCTGGGCATGTATGATTCCTTGCTTGCAGAGCTGAGCCTGTTTAAAGTAGTGCAATCTCAGAAGAGCAGTGGTGTGGAACTCTGTCAGAATGTGTAGGAGGGAGAAAGAACCAAAAAAAGAAACAATGAAATTTTTCATGGAAGACTTTGACTCATGAAGGCAGCAACATGAAGCATGTGCTGCACCCCTTTATTAGTGTGTAGGAATTAGAAGTTTTTTTTAATGATGCTGCAAAGTGCAACTTAAGTCCACAAATATCATGCACTTGTTTTGCCTTATGGTTTAAGATTATAAACAGGTAATATTATGGTTATAATAAATACCATTTAATGTGATCATTCATGCTTTTTTTGTGGAAACAACCACAGGTCTGCAATCGTGTGCCTTAATGAAAACAAAGTTAAGCTGCTGACTGCAGCAGATTTTTTGTGCTGCTGCACATGTGGAACTTCCAATTAGAGAGTTCGACATCGGCGTATTAAGAACCCATAGTGCAGACCCAGCTTAAAGCATCATTGTAAAAGCCACAAGCTCCTTGGATAGAGGGCTTTCTCATACCAGCAGAGCAAACACATTCCCAATAAATACAAATAAATTTGCTGTCAAGCTCAAATGTTTACTTAGGAACGGAACATCACTCAATGAGACATACTGAAACAGAGTGCTGAGTGATACACAGTATAAAGGCAGATGCAATGAAGTCTAAAGCACTTTGGTTACAAGATTATATCTTCACATAAACGCTTTGCTGTAAATGTGCGCAGAAATAATCATATTAAATTTTCCAAAAAAACACAAGGCAGAGTCATACGGAAAAAGTACACTTAAAAGTACAATGGAAAATAGAGAAGGCAATGCAGAACTATGACTCACCCTGTAAGTGCTGTTTTTGTGCGCTTTTCACATGTTGCATTTGTGTGACGCAAACACTTACTAAAACCCTTATAGTACATTTTAAAAAATTCTGAATTCACAGACGAAACTAACCGATATGAGAATGTCAAGTTATATTTCTCTGAGTAGTCGTTCAGAGGAGCTTTTTAAAACTAAAAAAACCTCAAAATCTGTAGAGCATATTTAAAATTAACATACTAACACTGCTATTCAGAGTAAACCAATTTTGAATTACGAATAATGTAACAAGTGGAACTTGCAATCATTTCTAATGTCTTTGTTGCATCTGCTTTTATTTTTAATTATTTGGATTTTTTTCAAAACGATTTTAGAGTTGCTTCTGTAGTTAATATCTGCACATGATAAGATGCTTTGCAGTAAAACACCAATGTTTTGTCCTGTTTGTCTTCCTCACAGCCTCTACTGAGGGGCACCTGGAGCTGCTCTGACTAGCCAAGGTGGACAAAGTGGAGCTGACACCATGACTTGATAAGAGAGCTACAAAGCAGACAAGGTCGCTTTGTAGGAGTTAATTCTCATTAAATGGAACTGCATAAAGATGCATTTACATAATAACTTTGAAAGCCCCAGTGCCAATTTTTTTAATTTTTTTATTTTTTTTATCAATCTCTAAGGTTACAAAGCTTTTGATTTGACACACATTAACTTTACACACTTTAATTTAGTTTGGGTGGAGCTAACAGGAAATCCATGTCAATGCCTTTAACTCTCTTGATCTGTTTAGTTGTTTTCTATTTTGTTTTTACAAAATAAGGACCTGCATCACATCAGGCTAATAGGTTTCAGGTCGCTGTTGAGTTGTGCATGGGTTTACATTACATGCAAATTATTAATTCCTTGTCTGAGTCTTTGAAGTTAGTTAACAAAAATAACAGCTTTTTATGAGATTCTTCCAGATAAAATATAAAAATACAAAAAAAATGAAAGCACATATCTTGTATCGACTGTGTTGCATAAGTAAATATTCTATTTTTACTTAATATTATGGGCATATTTGCTCCCCTGCATTTTCTATATTCCTGATTTAAAGATGAACTTGTAACATAATAGTAAACAAACACATTTGTTACACTTACCTTTGTTTTGTCTACTTGCCAGGTGGTAGGACTTGGATCTGTAATATATGTAAGTTTGAGTGTAGATGCTTTCCAGGTCTTGCCTCCAAGTAGCTGGGCTCAAAGATTTAAGAAGTTCTTCTATTGTGTCAAAAGTAGCTATGGTTTTGTCCAGGTCCTCCAGTGTCTGAGGAACCTCTGTGGTTGGCATCTCATTTGTTCCCATGTCCTGCAAAAAAAAACAAAAAAAAAAACAGAAGAACTTGAAAAGTAAAAGTAATCATTCTCAATAATTTCCCATTGCTTTTTTTTATATTTTCTGCAAAAAAATCTAATCTGTAGAAAATACATATTTTTAAACCCATTTCAATGTATGTTGTTGTTAAATGCCTTAATGAGATGGTTACCCTGTTACTATTGTTGTAAAGTGAAAGGGATTGACCAAAAATAATGCATTTATTTTAAAGGTACACTGCCTGGTTGCCGGATCTTAGCAGTTAAAGCCGGGGGGTCGTTCTAAAAACACCCATTTATATCTGTAGAGTACACAAAAATAAGGGTGTTTGTTTTTAACAACAGATACATCCATTTAAAACATGCTGCAGATAAATACATGACTAAAAGAATCCAAGGGACCTCTGTGGTTCTATCCATATATGGTAGCCAATAACCAATAAGACGCAAGCTGTTGCTGATATAAAAAGTAAGATTAAAAAAAATAAAATAAAAATCAGTGCATTTATAATACTGGTCATATTTAAAGTTGGATTGAAGAGTAGCCTAGTCTTCACTCCAGATCACACTGAGCCTGGTTCTGCTGGAGGTTTCTTCCTGTTAAAAGGGAGTTTCTCCTCTCCACTGTCGCTACAAGCATGCTTAGTTTGAGGGATTACCTGTGAGTCAATGGAATGAACTGGTTTGAAAAGTGCCTTGAGATGACATGTGTTGTGAATGCTGCTATATAAATAAACTGAACTGAAATGCTATAAGAACACAAAAGAAAATGAAAACAAATGTATTCCCTAATCATTTATTTTTTTATATAGACTATTTTATTGTGTACGTCAAAGAAAAATTAAAAAACGAGCTGTTCTCCATTTATTGTGGATTTTTTGTTGGAAAGCGGATAAGCGAATGAAACACACGGATACAAAATGGTACCAAAAATAAATTATTGATCTAACTGATTTATGGTTTATATTGGATATTATTTCATTTACTAGTTGCTAAATAAACATCAACTTATAGAAAAATATGCTAGTCTTTGGAATATTTGGTTGCTATACATTCATATTTCAGGGATATTACATATTTTTGACCTAGTTTGAATAAAAGATTACTGGTTTTATTCAAATAAATATTGAAAGTTGAATAAAACTGATACATTCAGCTTTAACAAATTAAGAGTATTTGAGTATTGGGTTCAATGTAACATTCAGCAGATAAAAACTATGATCTCAATACAAATTAATCTATAATCTTACTTTTCAAATCCTAATTAAAACAGACCTGTAAAGAAAAAAGAATGAAGTGAATCTAAGGGACCTATCAGTCACCATGACTGTTCCTTATATGTCCATAACAGGGGCCAGGGCCAGTTCTACAGGGTCAGGGGCCCCTGTTGGCCCATCTAGAACCACCCACGGGGAAGGCAGAGACATGGGAAGAGAGAGACAGAAGGACAGAGATGAAACTGAAGAAGCACATATGCACTGAGGGACAGATGGGTACAAAGACATTTTGAGACATCAATGTAAGGGGAAAGTTACCCTCTTTGCAGAGGTATCACAGATGGAGAAAAAAGAGAACCAAGAGACAGGCATAGAGTAAAATACTTACAGAAATAAAGCATTAGGAGTGGGTATGTTTAAGATTTTGTTAGGGAAAATTTTGAAACGAGCCCTGGCAAAATGGGCATAAAGAAGAATGACTGTATATATACCAACTTGGTACACTGTTACTCAGTTCGGATATATAAAAGTTCCTCGTGAAAAAATATAGGACTCAGTAACAGGGAATCTGAATGAGCTGAGAATGATGGAGGAAGAGATAACCACCTGTTTAATTTTCATTTACTATGTTTTTTTTTTTCTTGTAGCCCCAAATATGGTGTTAATTAGCATTTTTTGTATTTTATCAGGTGAGATAATAATATCTATGATGAGATTATATTAGAATAACCCCAGTATATCATCTATTAATAACAAACTTCCTTTAGGTGTATGAAACGAAACTATTAACTACTAAATTGTAAGTTTTCATGTTGTGCATTCTAATGTTTTTGGAAGAGTTCGTGATTATATTATTTCTCTGTTTTAGAATAGTGTACGATTGAGAGAAGAGGAGATAGGAAAAAGATTGGAAGACTGATTGAATGAGAGCAGAGGAAAATAGGAGCACTGAAGGAAAGAACGGTTGAAGAGAAGGAAGAAAAATCTACTTAGAGGAATATAACAGAGAGCAGATGTCAGAAGATGGCTAGAAAGAAAAAAACAACAACTTAGGAACCAGTCAGACATGTGTTTTGATTTTGATATAAAATCAGAACACTAAATGAGAGTAAAGAATAATTTTAGTATGACTTCATCATTGAAGTGAATACTTGGTATCTTTGGATTCAAAGACTACTAAGCACACAGACCCATTGGCAGAAGTAACTAAAAGCATTTAAATCAAGTTTAAAGTAAACGCATATTCATGTTTGATACGTCATGGTAACTATGTACCACCTTATATTTCAACCCTTATAAATTATATACGTTGTCCACAGCGTGGCATGGGAGGAATTCAGGGGAGCTTTATACATTTGCTGTATGAAATACAAAACCATTATATGCACATTAGCTTTTCAAATTGAAAATAAATCTCATAAGCTTCTAACTTTCCATTTCTTGCTAAGATTACAAATATAGAAGAATGCATTTAGTTTCAGAAATAATCAAGAAAAAAACAGGCATTTTTTGTTCTTCTTTTCTGTACAGTATATTAGTTGGTGTGACAACTCACCGACAAGAGTTCTGGAGCTGCCTCCAAGTTGGTGTCACCCTAGAACAATATAAAGCAAATCAGAACACCCTTAATAAAAAGTTATTAAAAAGAATAGAGACTATTTATCAAGGATTGACATATTTAGTACATTTTATTATTTGTGTGTTTTAAGGCTTCAGTATGACATTACCCTGTTTCTCAACCATGGACCAGGCAAGGCTTGTTATATTTAGGATTCCTTTGGTACTGAACTTTTTTTTTTTATCATAAAGAAAACAGACAGCTATAAAATTTGAAAAAAAAAAAAAGAATTGAATAGAATAAATGATGTACTTCCATAATTTACCCAATGGGGAATTTATAGAAGAATATACAGTACATCATCATCAAGGAATATTACACAGTAGGGTTTTAATGGTATCCATACTAGTACCAGACCTGTAGATACAAAAAAAAAAAAAAAGTGAGAAGCCAGAGGAAGTGCCCTTCAACCTAAAGTTCACCATCTGGGAGCAATTGGGATTTTGAGTGACATATGAAGATGGAGCAAAAAATAATAGACAAAATCCTCATGGGTAAACAAGATCTAACTGCTGTGATGTTTAGTTTTTGTGATGAGAATGAGTGGATTAAATGGGAAGGCAAGACAAGGCAAATTTATTTGTATAGCACAATTCATTACAAAGACAATGCAAAGGGCTTTACATGATTAAAATATAGGAAAATAAAACAGAGTCAAAGGAAGTAGGGAATAAAAAAAAAATGCAGAAAGAAAAAATAACTTTAAAAATGGTTGGACGAAAGAAAAAAAAAAGTTGAACTAATGTTCTTTTAGTTGAACTGTTTAACTAGAACAGCAATCCTAAACAAATGTGTTTTTAGTCTTGATTTAAAGGAACTCAGGCTTTCCGCACTTTTACAGTTTTCTGGAAGTTTGTTCCAGATAAGTGGAGCATAGGAACTAAATGCTGCTTCTCCATGTTTACTTCTGGTTCTAGGCATGTAGAGCAGGCTGGAGCCAGAAGACCTGAGTGGTATGGAGGGTTGATACACTGATAGAAAGTCTGTGATGTATTTAGGTGCTAAGCCATTCAGAGATTTTTAGACTAACAGAAGTATTTTAAAGTCTATTCTCTGAGATACAGGGAGCCAGTGTAAGGACTTTAGAACTGGGGTGATGCGCTGTGTGACTTCATTCAGATGACACCGTTTCAACCCACCTCCAGCCCCTCCTCCACCATCATAGCTAAAACTTCATCCGAGTGTCATTCCTAACGGACTCTTACTGCATTCCCTGTCTCATCTCAACCGGTCCGGCAGAAGACCACCATGTTGAGCCTGGTTCTGCCAGAGGTTGCTTTCCAACTGGGTGTTCTTCCTCTCCACTGTCGCTTCATGCTTGCTCATTATGGACAGGTTCTCTCAACCTGTGTTATCCAACTGGACTTCCATCTTCCAGGTCCCTGAGTGAAGCTCTAGAATCAGCTCACGCAATCCACTGGATCTCCCCATAAAGTTCTGCATACCGTCTCTCTAACCAGCAGTCTACAGACTGACCAACTTTATCTATATCCACTCCACCACCAGTTTCAGGCCTGGAGGGGAAACAGCCCTATCCTTTTCATGCATATCTATTAAAATTAAGCGCTATGTTTCCTGCCGAGGTCTGAGCACCAAAGACAAGTAATTGTATCAATAAATTTCTCCTAATTGTCTTTCTCTTCATGTTCTTGTCTTTACTTAACCTAATCTAATGAACCTACACAATGCTCATTTATTACAATGAGAAAGATGTGTCTTCAAATACAGAGTAATTAAATGTCTAGGTTTGATTGAGGACTGAAATTTTAATCCAAATATTCATTACTAAATTTAGGTTGACAGTAATCTAGGAAACATTCTTAAATGTATAAAACGATCTTCCACATCAGACAGGATGAAAGGTCAGATATTTTAAACAGTAACCTCTCAACTTACAGCTCAGTATCCTCTGTTTGTCTCTCTTGTTACATACTTAATCTCTAGTTGTGTTCCTGAAAGGCTGTCAGTCTTTTGGTAAAATGGTTCCAAAGAGATTGTTCAGAGTTTATTTTTTTTACAGGCATGTGCTTGTTGAAGAAACAAATCACAATCATGTAAATGTATGTTGCTATGCTAACACAATTGTCCAGATATTTATTTTGTACACCCTGAGGGCATACTATTTGTATACTGTACTATTCAGCATCTACACACATCTTGTAAGGGATCACATCCTTTTCACAAACATGCCTTTCTGGGAATTGAATCAGTGTACTTGAAGAGTCCCAAATCCCTTTACTTTTCACAGTGCAATAGCAACCTCTCTAACCACAGTTCATTGAAAATTGTGCCATTACTTTCTTGTGGTGTATGTGTTTTGTGTGCATCTGTAAATTTAATAGGGTTGACATCAAAGGTGGAAACCTCTTAAAATACTCTTGATTGTGGCCTAAAATGTTCTCATAAACGTAGATGTACAAAGCAGCTGCAACTGAGGTCAGTCTTTCCTGTAAGATTGTGAGCACTTCTATTACTCACGCTGCAGTGACTTGCATCTCTAAATTAATGGTACAAACCTTGTTAAATGGTACAATAAAGCAGAGCTTAAGCTGGCATGAGAGTAAGGCTGGACCAACTAGAGGATGTTATTTAGGATGTGAGTCAATGAAAGAACTATGAGGGGAAACCTGATTTATTTAACAAAAGGATGTTTTTAGTCTTCTTGTCCAACTTACTTTAAACACCCAATGCTGTGTACTACCTCTGAATCACTCTTCTGGCTCAAACAACCAAACCGTCAATAAAGAATATTTCTTTTTTTTGGCACTAGTCTGGTTAAAGCAAAAATTAGTTAAAGTATGAGAGATTTTTCAATATCACACATTAGACATGACTGCAGTCTATTGATCACCTTTTTGAAATGTTAGCAATGAAGAGAATTTACTGAGCAAATCATGCAGGTAAAGTACTGTAACGTAGTTCTTTTGTTTTAGGGGAAAATGTCTGAAAATCTTTTATCAGACTGTATTTCCTTAGTTGGATTTTTTTATACTCTATCGCCAAATTAATATTATTTTTTATGAATACAGTTAACAGTACTATTATAAAGTTAAAGTTGGAGACTTTGCTCAGTTAAAAAGTTTTAGGGGGTTTTCGAAAGAAATATCAAAATTTTTTACTTAAAAAAAAGAACAACCCTAAAAAAAAAAAAGTTAATCAGATACTATATATAATTCTAAAATAAGGAAAACAATGTAGACCCAAAAAAAAAGAACAACCCTCATAAAAAAAGAAGTTCATCAAATACTATATATAATTCTAAAATAAGGAAAACAATGTAGACCCAATGATTCTTGTCTGTTCTTGCCAGATAAGCAATCCCATTACATCATTCCCTGTTCCCTCTACTGCACTGGCGATCAGGTTTAAGTGGTTACACCTGCGACATCGACACTTACAAAGAATTGCTGCACCTAGAAGGAGCACTATATATATTCCTTGCTCTTACAGCGGGTAACTGCCAGATTCTTGAAAGCAAATTGTGTGAGTAGAATGGTGCAGAAATCCTTGTTTTGACCTCCTAATTTTGACTTGCCTCTTTGCCGTTTCTCTCCTGCCTACCTTACCCCTGAATACTCCTGTTGAAATCTGATGTCTGGACACTGATATACTGCCCTGCCTCTTTACCGAGGCCCTTTGACTCTGCCCCCTGTCTGGATTGTTCTGCCAATCAATTCTCTCACCTGGATCCCAGAATCCCCTCTTGTATAGACCTTCTGGAAACCTCTGCCCCATGGACTGCTCTTCTGTACATGACCCCTGGATAAATCCCACACAAGCCTTAGCCCAGTCAAGATTTTTATCAGTCAATCAGTGGTCCGAATCCTCTAAAATTAGTCCCTATGATTCCAGTTCCTTTCCATTTCTGTTCCTGCAAAACTAATTTACTTTTAACCAAATTATTTGAATGCTCACTACTTTTGTAGGCTTAACTGTTTCTGGTCTCCAGATTCTGTCTAGCAATTACAACAATAATACATCATTAACTAGACTTGTCTCCAGACAAAAAAACTCAACACTAATAAAGCTAAACTTAAGCCAGTGTTATTTTTAACAAGCCTTTGTTTTATTTGATTTTTAGTTTGGTTAGGAGTTATAGAGCACCTTCATTATTTTTTTCTTTTAATACTTCTGTTCACTGAAAGAAGAATGCAATAATTCAGGCAAGCTTGACATATCCACTGGTGGTAGGGGATTGGATTCTTATTTACTGTAGCAACCTAGTGGAAAAGACATCAGGGAGCTGCCCCTTTCAACTCCATTTTGAACAATCGGACACTCAAGCAGCAGAGAATCAAGTGTGTGGTAGACAGTGAGGAAAGAGCAAGTGTTTCTCCATCAGCTTTTAAAACGCATGAGTAGCTGGAAGGACATTGAAGTTAAAGGATAAATTACACCAGCCACATTTCTGCTGTTCCCTCTATGCTTGAGCTAAAGCTTATTCTTAGGTTACGACCTAAATATTACTTCTAATCCAGCAATAAATCTTTCCTTTGGATTCAGTGTTATACTTATTTCCTCCATAATTTAATTACCTAAAGTTAACAATTTCAATAGTTTTTCCCTAGACACTTACATGAAGAAATGTTATATATGTATTATGGAGTTGCAGCAGCAGTGAACAACTATATGAAATGTGACATATTTAATGCAAATGATTGCTACTAGGGCAGTTTCCTATCAATATTACAGAATCATAAAAACACAAGAATACTGGTTTAAGTGAGGCTGAAGTTTGTGGTTTTGTGAAATTGTATGGCTTATTTCTTTTTGTTTGCTGTGAGGTCAAATTTGACTTACATGTGACAGATAAAAATTCTCCCTATGACAATATTTCCAAAATTCCCTGATTTGAGCCTTCTATAAAGGTCCAAATGATCCAGGTCTTTAGTAAACGTTGTTATAGAAATGTAATACCAGTCCATACACCCATCTGCTAATTAAGATATTTTTAAATTAAAGAACAAAATCAATAAATATTCAATAACTATCTTCTATTTTTATTTTAGGCATATTTTCCTTTTTGGGAAGATATGCTTTTAATGTAAAAAATTAAACCTTGATTTGACACAGAAATATATTTGGCTTTAATTTTTGTTTAGACATTCCCAAATTCCCTTACAATTATAATAATGTTATCTTTTTTATTATAATTCTGATTAAATGATGTAAAGAAAAACAATAAACATCCCCCGAATTTACTGAATGACCAATATTTATTTTGTATACCTACTTGCCATTCACAAGTTATATAGCTGGTTAATTTGTCAAGCTATTTACTCAGTTTGAACATGTAGTTTGTTGCTTGACCAAATATGGTGCTTGTAGCTTGTCAGCTTCAGTTTTAAAACAGTGCTGCTTCTGATTCATAGCTGTTCATGTATTGAGAGACCAGAGACACTGTATGGGCAAAATTTGTCTTTCTAGTAGGTGATAAAGTGCTATAGCGTTCTGTCAGCCAGCTGATAGAGGACTAAAATTCTGTGTGTGGAGCAATGATTGAGGAAGCAACAGTGACCACCATAGGTAAAGGCAAAGCACAATCTGGGATTTTATGCATAAAACAGAACAACATATATTTGTGATATTTAGAATTCCAACTTTTTAATACCTTTGTATAGCTTAGTGCAAGGGAAAGGTTGTATCTCTAATAAAGCTGGTCCCTAGAGCAATGGATGTTTATCTATATAGCACATTTCAGTAACAAGCCTATAAAACATGCTGTAGATCATCAAGACACAAGGAAATAAAATAAATAGAGAATACAAACTTAAAACAATGTTATTTATTCTAAAAGTTAAAAAACAATCAAAGGCCAGTCCAAATAAATAGGTTTTTAACCTTAACTTAAAGCAATTTAGGGTTTCAGCACTTACACAGTAATCTGAAAAGTTGTTCCAGATCATGGTGCATAAGAACTAAAAGCTGCTTCTCCGTGTTTGTTTCTTTTTTCCAAGGACATTAATAACACAAAGTCAGTCTAATTCAGCTTGTCCAATGCAGCCTAATTCTTAGGCGATAAGCTAAAATAAAGGGCCAAACAACAGAGAGCAGGACGGACAAAAGTTTGAGGGAAACTTCGGCTTAAGCAGCTCAGGAAGTGAACAGTAGGACTTATATTATCTTATTTTTTGTTTCTTTCCGTTCTTACCTCCACTCTGCTTCTCTTCTCATTAAAAGCTCTACTTTCATCCAGTCCACGTAGCTCGGTACCACACAGCTGCCTTACTCTCTGGTTCTCTCTTTGTCTCTCGTAGTCTGGCTTGTTTTAGTCATTAGCTGACATCCTGATAATGTCTCAGACACCTGTTCTGCCCTTCCAGTGCTGCTTCTCCTCATTCCGTCCCTCTAACTCTTCTTTTTTCCCACTTTTTATTTTCCTCCTCTCCGTCTCCTTATCTTTCCGACAGGTCTGGAGAGAACAAATTAGACCTGCTAAATTAAGCCACACACAGAGCTCGAGCCTAGCTTTGGGGAGAAGTACGTGTGTGAGCGTCTACATGTCTGTTAAAGATGGAAAGATACAACACTCACACTCAAATACTGGTGCTCTTTGAAAATCTGGTGAAACTGATCTAATGAGAAGGGCCTCAAGAGTTGATTACTAGCGGTAATGCAAAGGGTTGTGATTATTTGACCAGAGGAGAGATTACAAAAATTGAGTAGAGAAGGAAAAAATGCTATAAGCTTCTGAACTGAAAAAGATAAGAAAGTAATTTGTGGTTTACACAGTGGTAGAGTAAGTAAGTAGGTATATTTAAGTAAGAACTTTATAATGGGGTGTTTCTCACATATTTCTCACATCATTACAGCCTGAACGGGGGACTCAGTGCAAGACGTTTGTGGGTTTTAACCAGCTGGTTGGCTGGAGTCTATTTCTAGTGTGCATTTCTCCAGGTGGTTTTCTCCAGGTGGTCCTTCCCACGATCCAGATTCATAAACCATGAGATTAATTGGTGAATGAAGATTAAAAAGAGTGAGCACGAATTGTTTTTATTTCTCACAGTATTAGTGCTGTCATTCAATAGCTAGTTTCCAGCATGTGAACTGCTTCTCAATCAGTGCAAAAAGGGACAGGCTAGGGACATGGCTGTATAAAGATATCCTCATGCATCTATTCCACCATTCAGAGGTTGAAAAACTATGGTTATTCGATAAACATTCAATAAATTCCAAGGTATTTATTGGAAAGCTGGGAAAAGAGAGCCAATAGAGATGTTGTGAGGTGGATGAACACTCACATTTTAGAGCAGCCTAGAGACATCTGTAAACCTTAAAGTTGTTTTTTTAAACTGTGGGAGGAAGCAAGAGTGAATCTAAAAACTCTTCAATGTAAATATGCCAGAAATGGTTCAAGAGCTAATCATCAGTAATCCCAAGACAAATGCTAAAAACATCTAAGACTACATTCACACAGCAGATCCTAAGGCTTGGTTTCGATATTTTGCTGAAATCCAATTTTTGGTGAGGTCTTTTATACTACTAATTAAATGCAGACCCCCAGAGGACTTCAGTTTGAATGTTTCAGAACATCAAAGCGACCTGCACGAGCAGAAGGATATGTCACACAGCAGCGCATGGGATCTTCAAGAAGTACAGCTTAAAGTATTGATTGCTGATTTGAATACATGAATAATAAAATAAATGGGCAAATATATACAGTTAAAACATTTCTTAAAACTCTAGGCAGTTTTACACGAATGTTACTTTTGTTAAGCAAAAATAGTAATTAAAACCCAATTTTAACCTGGAAAAGTAAAATTTAAGTACCGTAAAATAAATAAACCTTTGATCTAGAGTAAAAAAGGGGATAGTATTTTTTACTTTTGTCGATTTACAGGACAGGTCCTGCCTAAACACTATCATAAAGAAAGACACATAGAAAAACATTAATCTAGAGTATTTTCTTCATTAATTTTATTTCCAGACATTTTACCTTCAGTTAGGGACTGTGTATAGTGGTTTTAGTTATGGTACAGCAGCTGTGGGTGCATAAAACCTAAACATTTATCTTACATCTGTTTCCTAAAAGGAAAAATTGTTACAAGAGGAATAGTAAATGTTTTCCAGTTTGAATTCACTCAGTAAAATACAAAGATGACACTATAAAACGCTAGTTCATAAATAAATACACATGCTGTCTCTTTCATTTCATTTTGTCTTTGCTTTTATTTTATCTCATGACTCTTTTCTTCTCAGATAATAGGCAGTGCCAAGAGCTCTTCATCTCTTCCTCTTTTTACTCTTAGGAGGAACCTTTTTAATGCCTTTTTGACTTTCTACTTTCCTTTCTTTAGCCCGTCGATTATAGAGCAGAGTAACATCTTAAATTCAAAGTCCCTCTCTTTGTTCTTTGAGCTTCCTGACAAAATGACAAAGCAAATCTCCTTATCCATTCATTTGACAGCCTGGAAGAAAAAAGCTTTGCATCCTCCCAACGTCCTGTCCTATATCTCTCCATTTCTCCTCCTTTGTCAAATGGATGGATGAGTAAGGCTTGTTTGGGTGTGAAAGCTTGGCATTTTCAGAAAGCTTTGCTATGACCACTGCTGCACCATTCTTCAATACAGCTGGTTTTATCTTTCTCTTCATTTCCCATTACAGCAAAAGCTGTTTAAGAAGATTTAAACTATGCTAACACTCAGATAGACACACAGAATGTTAAATAAAAAACATCTCTAATTACTGCAGCTCCAGTGTGTGAGGCTAACTTACCACAAGTGAGTAGTGGATTTTGAATCCCGGCTTTGCGACAAAGTAATCGTCCGACTTAAAGGTGATTCTGAGTGTGTTGGATTTAGAGGTTAGACTAGAGGGTGCCTTCTGTCCACACCAACGTCCCCACTTTATGGTGCTGCTCTGGGATTTTTCCTCCACCTCAACATAGTCATAACTGGAATGACAGAGAAAGGTAATATTTTAAACAGGCCAAATTTAGCTTTATTAAGTTTAATTAACTCTCACATCTTGCACTTCTTTAACTCCCAGAATTCTGATACTACTGGCTCCCACTCGCCGTCAATTTGACGGGTGATATTTTTCCCAATGGAATGCATGAGTATTGATGATGTCAACAACTGAAATAGTGTGCCACGAAAACCCAAGGTGGATATGTAAACCTTAAAACAGGTCTTGTGCTGTATATATTTCTTAGAGGCTATACTTTATACTATTATTATTTGTGGTCTAAATTTGTATTCAAAATAAATCAGTAAAATAAATAAGACTGTTTGACTACATAGTTTCAAAGTTTAACATTACAATTTTATTTACAGAAATTGATTGATTACCCCCCCGAACATTTTCCACCCACCACTTTTCATATATATGACAAATATCATGGGTTTTTTGTTCACCGCTGATGCACCTGGCACTTTTTTTCTTTGCCTCGCCAAAGCTGACTCTTCTGCGGGGTAGGGGTTGGTAACCTACAGCTCTCTGGAGCGCATGCGGTTTGCACGTAACTGTTTTACCAGTTCAAGGATAAAGTCTCTGGGTGAGACGGTGATATTCAAGCCGCTCCTGAACAAAACCAATGCGTTTATAGCTGCTATGTCCAGGATATATACAGACAGCCACAGGTCACGTTTGCGTTGAAGCTTGTACAAAATACTTTCTAATGATCTAATCCAATACAGCCACGCCAACCTGTGTGTAATTATGGTAGACCATGTGCTTTTGGGTCACTAGGTGTACCGGCTAAGGTGTGGGCAGTGCTATCTAAAACTTGAACAAAAGTTTCACTTTTGACTGATGGGTCACTGATACAACTGCATTTTGGGCGAACATCCTCGGACTTCTGAACCACTTCCTACCCAGTCCTCTTCATCTTCTCTTCATCGGTCCCTCTCTGACCAAATCGCTATCATAAATATTTTGAAGCATTTCTAAAGCCTGTTTTGCTGTTAGATTTCTTTCTGAAAGCCATTTTTTGGTATTAGCCAAAGAATTCAAGGTAGGATTTTGGTTGCTAGGCAACATTACTGGACGTCAATCAAGTGTGAGAAGAATTTACAATGCATCTAATAGAGCCGTCAAAATGATGGCTATGGGTGATTGAGGTAAAATTAACCATATTTATTTTTTACGTTTTTATTTTATAAAAAAAAACTATGTGACTATGAAGGACATATAGACACAGGAAAAGTCAATTAACATGAGCAACATATTATTGATGTAAATAAAGTTCTTTCCCATTAAAATCTCAGAACCATCAAAATGACAGCCTTGAGAGTTCTAGTGTCAAGTAAAAAAATCTATAATTATATCTACACCTGTCTGCCAAAACATTCTGCCACTTAAGGTTAATTCCCAAACATTAATAATCTCTCATTAACAATATTTTTATAGGTGGAATATTTTAGGCTGTAAGATCACAGTTTGTCCATAACACTGATGTGTTTGAAGCTTTCACAAGCATGATGGCTTTGTTAAAGTATTTTCAGAGCAAAATTGTGATGCAAAGATGACTGGCCAGAGGACCTCCGAAACTCCAGCTCTTTGTGGGGTGGGCTAAAATTCCTGAGAAAGTAAGAAGATTCTGGTATAAAAGTGCATCAGAATCTGCGTGACAGAGTTGAGGCCTGAAGCAATGGAGCAGGGGGGCCTGGCATGATGAATCACTGTTTCTTTTACGTCACATGGATGGCCGGAGGGTCGTGCATTGCCTACCTGGAGAACAAATGGCGCCAAGATTTTCTATGTGAAGAAAGCAAGAGGCAGAGTGATGCCTTGGGCAATGTTCTGCCAGGAAACCTTATGTCATCCAATTCATGTGGATATTACCTTGACACATAGACCCTACCGAAGCACCGCTGCAGAATATGCCCTTTTTTGTGTAAACTTTATTCCAAAATAACTCTAGCCTCTTCAAGTAGAATAATGTGGTCTTAAACATATTAACATTCGATCAGAAATTGTTTTTAAGCAGCAGAACAAATTAGAGGAGTTAAATTGGTCTTCCACTACATTCCAATTCGGCATAAGTGCTGCCCAGGTCCTATCTATGGATGGCCCAAAGCAGAACTTTCAGGACCAAATACTATTGCTAACCTTCAGGGGTGAAGCGCAGTCCAAGCATTTCAGGTAAGGCCGTTCAGCCATCAAATACACAATTAGGCAGTTGTTGATAACGTTTTAATGGATCAAGTGTAGCATAATCTAAGAACTGTTCATCTCAGTTTACATTAATATCTGACTTTAATCTGGGTTTGGTTTTTATGCTGAAAGTGAAAATGAATAAGTTTAAAAGACCTACTCCAAACAGTGCATTAGGATATTTAACAAGTTTAGTATCTAAGGATTTAAATACTGGCATTGCTTTTGTTCCAGTAACCCCACTGTGGTTAATTCACAGAGAAGTTCAGATATTTAAATTGCCACTCTACTAATATGGACCTATATTTCCTGTCTCCTACATTGGACAACTGCTTCATATTTTATTTTTGTCTTCTTTTGCATTAAAACTAGGGCTGCAACCAATGATTATTTTGCAAATCAAAACTTCTTTGGATTTTCCCATCCTTGAAAAATGTTTCTTTTCTCTATTTCGCAAACTCCAATTTTCTTTTAAAATTATGCTCACACAGACAACGGAGTTGCATTTTAGAATTAAATAATATTTTTGTGTTGTTAAACCCCCAAGAACACACTTCTTAAGTTTTTGCCAAGAAAGAAGACTTCCCCTGTCAACATTTGAGGCATCACAGAACTCTTTTCTTGAGTATGTACTTTATATACAACGGTAAATTATTTAACATTAGTTTTTACTTCTTGTCATAATTTCATTTACTCTGCATAAAATGTCCTTGATTTAAGTCATTCTCTCAACTTCTGAGTTGCAAACTTTTTAATCACTTTTGTCTTTCAGACAACTTTTCTCTATTATACATGCCTGTGATGCATCACTGATCCCTCCTGTTTGTCCTCTGTATCTCAATCTTCCTTTGTCTTTCTCTCCTTTTGTCTCTCTAAGGGTATTTTATGTCTTCCTCTTTGTCTTCCCATATCATCTCCCGTAATCATGCAATCTGAATTCCATCCCCGCCACTTCGATCTGTTCTCTCCATCTTCCTTAAGCTTGTCTTTTACCTGCACTTTCCTTTCACAGGCTCCTCTATGTTGAACTGTTCATCAAACTCAAGGTGGATGACGGTCCCAGGTGGTGACAGCAGTTTCCATGACAGGCACAGGTTTCGGGGATAGGCTTTGGGGTAGTTTGGGCTGGAGATGAAACCGCCCGCTGAAGTCACCGTGATGTTTTCGTCACTGCGGTACAAGTCTGTGGTGGGGTGAATGAGGTATGTTATTGATTTCAACAAATAGTTGTGAGGTCATGCACTTCACAGACACAGCTGAAGTCAAAAAAAATTATTCACAAAAAAGGGGATAAAAAAAGAGATTTTAGCAAACATGAGAAGACTGAAATATGCAAAATGAAATTTATGATACATGTTTTTGACAAAATACAGTTTAATTGTATTTCATCGTTATGCATCGGTTAGTAAGCAGTTATGCCCCAGGGCCTTTGGTTCTCAAACTGGGGTACATGGGCATTTATACTCAAATGTTAATTGCATTAACTGAGGTGTAGAGCTAATAAGCACCAACAGCCACAAAGATGGCTGGTGTGCTAATTATCCTTAAGCTGGAACCTAGTTTAAAATGTGTTAAATAACTCAACTTGGCCATCCTCTAGCATTTAATGCCATTTTCATTGTCAGTGCTAATGACTATAAGCAATGCATGCTAATAGCAATGAGTAGCATTCAATTTTAGATTTTTTTTTTTTTTTACCCCTGTAGCAATATCTTAACTGAAGATGCTGTGTAGAAGCAAAGCATCACGTGGAATGGTATTGAGGATAAATATAGAGTGGGGAGTTATTTTTCAGGATCTGGGCTTGGCTACTCATTCCCAGTGAAAGAAACTATAGGAGATTTTGGACAATTCCATACCCCCAAATTAGTAAGACTTGTTTGGTGATGGACACTTCGTCTTTCAACATGACTGCATCAGTTACCAAAGCAAGGTCCATAACAACATGAATAAGAAAGTTTGGCGAGGATGAGCTTCACTGGCCTGAAAAGAATCATGGCCTCTACCTTAACAGAAAAACTTTGGGATAGATTAAAAGTCGAATCTGAGAGCCAGTCTTTCTAATCAAACATCAGTTTGTGGGCTAACAAATGTGTTATGGAAAAAAAGGTTGAAACAAACCATAAAAACATACTTCTAAACATGGTGGACAGCCTTCCTAGAAAAGTTAAAGGTGTTCTAGCACCAAAGAGTGGATCAATGTCACATTGACCCATATAAATACTGCATGTTAAGTTCATGTGTGGATCAAGGCAAGTCAGCAAATAACTTTGGCAATATGTTGTACATTTTGTATAAAAACAAAGTTTTAAGAATAATTAACACTTCTCTTCTTTCTAAACACGTTACTTTTAATCTCTTACAATACTATAAAATATTGTCTCAAGTCTCAAAATTTTACACATTACAAAAAGTATTTGCCTTTTTTGACATCTGATACATAAATACCATTTAGTCTAATGAGATCACATAAACAAATATGGCATAGTATTTACCAATATAAATATTGACTTTTTTAAAGCAGATATAAGTTGTCACTGATCAATTAAAGACTTTAGAATTAATTGTAAAAAAAAAACAACTTAATACTTAATTAATAAAAAGGTCCAACAAAAAGTGGATGAAACAGAATAGAACAGAATTTCTACATACAAAGGCAAGATAATTATTTTTGAAGCACGAAAAGGGTTCAAAATAAACATGAAAAAGTTCTTAAAACTATTAGCAGCCCAAGGTTAGTAAACATTACTGATTAATAAAATGCGTTAAATACTTTGACTCTAGAATACCTGCATCTCTGTTAAAGCTGTGGTGTTAGGGACAAACTCTTTAAAATCTTGCTCCATGGCAACAATAACTAGAAATGGATGGAGCTGAAAGCTGCCAATATATACATGGAGAGAAGTAGATACTCAGTAAAATCACCAGGAATTGAACTGAACATCAAGACCAGTTTTGCGTAAACTAAATGTGTGAACAAGCAAATCCGATTGGAGTAAAAAATAAAATAAAATAAAACATCTACTGAAAATATGTAATGATAAATGACAATAAGCATTAAAAACATTGATTGTCTGCATGGTTGAATTCTGTGTGTTGTAAAAAGACTATATAAGCTATAAGAAGATGATTTCTTCTAATAACTATATACGCATCCTTCCTTCTTGATATTACTCGTATATCAACTGCCAAACAAAACTGTGTTGTTGACCTTCTTATAATTACACACAAAGTCTCACACACATCTTCACAAACAGAGAGAAACACACAACGTCAGAAGGTCAGGATTTGTGCTGAACAGGGCTGACAGGGCGATATTTTCTAAGTGCTATGTGGTTTTTTTCTGCAATAGAGCTGAATCCGTAATCAAGGTGCTGCAGTATGCACCCCTGAGAGATGATGATGAAGCTCCAGCCTTCTCATCCACCTCTTTTCTTTAAACTTCATCTAATTTTTAGCCTTACCAACCTCTCGGTTTCCTCCCTAACTGTAATTTACCATTTTGGTGTTATCCCGATTCTCATCCAAACACAACAACCTAAAGGTCTTTTTTGAAATTAGAAACCTGTCATATTTTTGTTCAGATTTTTGCTTTGGTAAATATGTCAATGCATAGCAATGCAAGGCATGCGTGATGATGAAGACGATTTGTTTGTGTAGAATCCTTGTACCATGTTTATTGAAGCCTCACTGTGAGGCTCTGAAGTAATTGCATCAAGGAATGTCCTTAATTCAAGTCAATAGGGAACTCAGCATGACTTAAAAAGAGCTTTCGATTTAAAAAAAAATGTGATTACAAGTGGAAAAATATTTACAACTCCTATTAATCTATTTTGCCCTGGCATATAATTATTTAATGAATGAATGAGTTGATTTATTTATGTAGATATAACAGTTATAACAATAATTGATCTAAATTGGAGTCAAAGTATTCTAGATTATGCGCAGAGTAAGAGTTATGTAATAAACTATACTGCAATCAAACTGGAAATGTGTATTTACTAGCACAGCCATAATGGCGTACTAACATAGGTTTCATGCATTCACTCTTTCAATGACAATAATGTTACTTTTAGCCCTACATGGAAAGAATGATAAAAAAAAAAGCAAAAACTTGTAAATCTACAAATACCGTTTTTAAAATGTCTGTGCGTGGGCTCCTTGTGACTGCCTGTGACATGTTAAAAAAAACCAAACACTTTTCCAGAGAAATTGTGCAATACTTTCCATATGGCACTGGCCCCTTTTGGACACTGCTGCATAGTTACATAATTGGCTTAAATATAATTCATGCAGTGATATCAGTGACAGTTTTTCAAATTTATGCAAATTAAATAATGATTTGAAAGTGCATCTGTGTGCATCATAATCATAGGAGAAAAATTACGCTACTTATAAGGCAAAGTAATATTTGCCTCTGATGGGGGCAAATAGTAGTTTAGGTTATTGATTGCAGGCTAATGCAGGTTTGAATCCTGTTTACGTTAGGGAGGGTATCAAGTGTAAAAACTCTGCAAATTCTGTAAGTCTGTAAGCAGTAGTAACAGTTTCAGTGGCGACCTCTGAATAATGGAGCAGCTGAAAGGACTCATCTTCATAGAAAAAAGTTAGATTGAAGTTTATTGGGTCAAAGGTGATGTAGCAGAATCTGAATGCAGATCTGAAGGCCTAGAATTTAGTTTGAAGTAATAGCTGTTAACCTTTCCGGCAAGTTCAAAAATTAAATTTTTTGAGGAATGCTGCAAAAGAAGTAAATAACTTTGTTTTAGTATAAATGTAATAGATGTTAAGACGTGTGTATTATCATCACTAATCTATATAAAATAGAAAGAAGCAGAGTCTAGAATTTGTTTAAAAACGTATTTAAGATACTTACTCAAATAATAAGTGTGAGAAATTGTAAAGGATACATTTGTATGATTCAAATTAATAATAATTAAAAAAAACTTTTATTTTTCAGGAAATTTAAAATATTTTATTTAGTTTTGGAAGGATGAAGTCAATATGCGATTTAAAAGAAAATATCCAAAGTTTTGAAAAAAATTAATTTTCATCCCTTGTCATGAATGCAATTGAATGGGTTTCGATTTGGTCATCAGCTGAAGGATTATAACACACAAATACGCTTTGATTTAAACTGTACCTTTATAGCTCCTCCTATATGGGTTAGGGTTAGAAGCCTCCAGTCCGGCTTCTATAGGAGTCTTGTTTCACTTTGGCAGACGCTCACCGGTTTTCATTAGCAACTGCCCCTGTCTTTAACTCCATCCATCTTCCTATTAATGCTGATCAACACTTTACTGTCTCTCCTAAATATAGGTCTCCCCATGATGCTGCCACAGCCATGCTTCAATGTAGGAATAGCTGTTGAAGGTGGTGTAAATTTCATTATAATAAAAACTTTGAAATGTATAGGTTTTCTTCCACTTCCCAACTCCACACTAAAGGTACATTGAAGTTTGTGTTTGTAAATTGACAAAATGTAAGAGTGCAATAGGTTTCAAAGATGCTAGTAGGAAACTCAACTTGAAAATCAGTTTAGTTAAACACAATTTACCTGATTTCAGTTCTTCAAATGCATAAAGAGTCCTCATAACTTACCTAAAGGTTAATTGTGAGCAGTTACAGAAAATCTGGTGATGCTTCTATTATCTCCCTAAGAATCTGACTCACACTTTTGATAAATATAGACTTGCTAACTCCCTTGTTTTTTCCACATTCACCAGCATGTATAGTCTGACTTCGCCAATTAGACTTTAAGACTCCTGATCTGACACTTAAGTAACCTTGACAATGATGCGGTGTGACTGTGTTTTGCATCTGTGTGTATGGTGGGCAGATGGGAGGGTGGATGTGCCAGGTTTCAAGAGAATATTTCTTTAAACTTTGTGTGGATCTGCATGAATGTCAGGTTTGCTTTATGTGGGTATATTCTCACTCATTAAACGTGGCCCTCCCACTCCCAGTGCCAGGGTGTGATGTTCTTCGTGCTTTCAAGATCTATTTCTGATCCAAGTGCCAATCACACTTTAATCACCCAGCAACATGGTGCATCAGAGGCTGAAAAATAGCTTTCACACTGAAGTACTGCAAGTCAAACGAAAGGACTTGATAACAAAGGAATTAAATCTTCAACTTTTGGATTCAGTCAAACTTGAAAGGTGAACTTGATCAAGTCACAGG